CCCCAAAACCCCAAAACCCCAAAACCCCAAAACCCCAGGCCATTCAAATTCGGTTGAAGCAAAGTTCTAGACATATTTTTGGACTTTTAAAGATTTAAGAAATAATCCGTTGCTTTTATGCAATTGGTATTTCTGGCTTAGCATCTGTGTTTGGGTCAGAGTCAAAGTCAACAAAATCATTTTTACTCAGGTCCTTTTCTTTAGAGAACCTGCTATTTGAGTACTTCATGATCTGGGAAGGACTTCCAAAGCATAATTTTTCAGTTAGTCTATACATCTCTTCGGTTATGAGGGGGCTTTCGTCGTTATTGAGATCCTCAAGGTTTTCCTTCCCTGAAGTACTTCCTTTGGTATTTCCCCCAAGAAGAGAAGATATTCTGTCTTTGTAAGTTCCATAACCATCAGAACCAACAGATGCAGATCTAATTGGTCCTAGGGGCATTTGGCCACTCATCATTTGTCTGTGAATCTGGTTCTCAATATAGCTTAGCTCGATATCATCCAAGTTATATGGAATCTGTAGGCCTGAGTCTTCGTAATAGAATAGCCCAGCATTCTCTTCCTCACTGCTAAGAGTTATTTCAGGATTTGAAATTTTAGAAGAATTTTCTGAGGAATGAACTGATGTTCAATGCCTTTTCTGGGTGAAAGCTCGAGAATGGAAGTCATGAATCTTTTCCAATATCTTTACTCTGGCCTTTAGGTTCGATTTTAGGGTACTCTGAGCCTCGACTGGTTGGAGGTCCTTCTTCTCTGGGGATTCTAACTCGAGAAGAGAGATAACGTAGTTAGTTGACTTTAGAAGCTCAGGAGGAATTTCATCCTCTGTAAACATCAACATTTCAGAAAGAGTTGTGCTGAAGGGATTATCCAAATTTAAGAGTTTCCTAACAGCTAGTATTCAAGCAGCTGCTTGATGAGTCGACCTAAAGTGAGAGCATTCTGCTTCTTTCGTTATATAATCCATAAAATATTCCAACAAATTATTCGCTTTGAATAAAATCTCCTGAAGATCTTCTTCGATTGAGTAACCTTGGTCTCTTGTGTCATCACTGAAGATAATTCCTTGGTGTGTAAGGGCTTCTATTGTGTGATATAAAGTGCCAAGTTTCAGATTCCAATTTAAAATCTTTCAGATCTCTCTTTCATAATGAATCATAGAATCGTAAGGAATTCCTCATCCTGATGCTCTCTGAAGTTCAGATGGGTAGGGTGCATTGAGGTCAAGAGAATCAAACTTAGCTGCAATATTAAGGCATACAACTGCTATCACCTTGAAACTACTTTTGAAGGCTATCTGGCTGATTTCATTACTAGTATTCAAAATGATGTCCATATATTTTATTGCTAGATACACAGTACTTCTTGTCTGTCTCAATTTCTTTCCGGTACTGAATAAAAGTTCAATAAGCTTCTTCCTTTCGCTGTAGTATTGCTTCTGAGTCGTTAGAAATTGATATTTCTGGTAATTTTCATCTAGGAGAATCGTGTGATAATGCTCTAATGGAGCAAAGTCAGGCTTCATGTTGAATTTGGGTAATTTAAAGGAGACTATTCCTTCTTTGGTGCGGAAGGCTCCACACTCGGAGCAATTTCCGACCCTCTCATCGACTTGAATCCAGTTTTCTGAGCAAGTGGATTTGCAATTTTGGCAATTCATATTGATTCTTAAATAAAATTTAATTGTTAAGGGGTTTTGGGGTTTTGGGGTTTTGGGGTTTTGGGG